AAAAGGTTTCGTTTAAAGAAACATGTAACGGCAATTAGAAAGTATAGAAAATTAGAAAAAAAGAGAACGTTAAAAGTTTTGACTTAGCTGACCAATTTCATGCATCACGTGGTGTCTCTTTTTGCATTGCTGTTCTTATCTGTTTTTCTCCTTTCCCTCTTAAAATTGCATATGGAAGTTTTAAGAGTAGGTTCTCTTAATATAAATGGGGGGAGGGATATGCACAAACGTGCATTAGTATCTGAAATAATAGAGCAGAGAAAATTGCATGTTATTTATCTTCAAGAAACACATAGCGATATAGGAAATGAAATTGAGTGGGGATTGTGGTGGAAAGGGCAGTATAAATTAGGTCATAAAACGAATTTGAGTGCAGGATTAGTTCTCTAATCAATTCTCTTTTCACCTGATTTAAGGGTCACTGTTTTGAGTACAGAAGAACCAATAAATGGTCGTCTCTTGGTAGTTAAAGCTGATATTGATGGGGAAATGTATTATTTCATCAATGTGTATGCACCAAATGTAGGTTTTGAAAGATTAATGTTTTTTGGTGTGTTAAGTAATGTGTTTAAAAAATGCTTTAATGATGGTAATGTGATAGTAGGGGGAGATTGGAACTGTACAGAAAATTTCACAGTTGATCGAAATACTGAAGAACCACATATTCAGTCATCATCTTGTTTATCAAAGTTAATAAGGGCAACTGATCTTTTGGATATATGGAGGGTTAAACATCCTGATGTGAGGCAATACACATGGGTGAAGGTGAATAATAATAGGGTTACTGCTGCTCGCTTGGATAGAATTTATGTGTCTAAACAGATGAGTAGTCAAATTATTGTTCTATCAATCCAATGGGTTTTACAGATCATAATCTGGTGTTGGTTGTAATAAGTAAGTCCCAGAGTTCAAAAAAGTCCTCTTTTTGGTATTTTAATATTGGGTTGCTTCAAGATAAAGAATTTTGTAGCTTTTTTGAAATATTTTGGCAACAGTGGAAAATGAAAAAAAGCAGTTTTGAGAATTTAAGACAGTGGTGGGATATAGGAAAAGTTAATATAAAAATGTTTTGGCTGCAGTATACTGCTAAATCTACTAAAGTGTTAAGAGAAACAATTGAGTCTGTTGAGAATGAGATATCATCTATAGAAGCAGAATTAATTAATAGATATGATCCTATGTTGAGTAGTAAGCTACAGAGAAAAAAAATGGAGTTGGGATCTTTTTTAAATAAGAGAGTAAAAGGGGCCTTGGTAAGGTCCCGTTTTATTTCTGTCGCAGATATGGATGCTCCACGTGCATATGTTTTTAATTTGGAGCGTAAAGTGGCAAAGCATAAACAGATGGTCTGCTTACGCCTTCCTGATGGGAAGTTGACACATGATATCAGAGAAATGCGTCGTCATGCAGTGGATTTTTATTCAAATCTTTACACTGCTGAGAATTGTGATGAAAATTGTTCTGCACAACTTTTTCATGATTTACCTCAAATAGACTTGGACTCAAAGACTGCTTTGGATATTGATATATCCTACCAAGAACTAACTGCTGCCTTGGGTCAACTTAAATCAGGGCATTTGATCGCGTAGATCACAAATATCTTTTCAATGTGTTGTGAGTTTTTGGTTTAGGGCAAGGTTTTTTAAAATGGGTGAAATTGTTGTATGAAGGCGCCTCTTGTATTGTGAAGGTGGGAGGTGGATTAAGCCGTCCTATTCCTGAAACAAGGGGTATAAGACAGGGGTGTCCTTTATCAGGGCAACTATATAGTATAGCAATAGATTTTACTTTGTAAATTACGTGAAAAAATCTCTGGTTTTATTACTTCTGGTATTATTAAGAACTCAAGAACAGTTTTAAGTGCTTATACAGATGATATTACGGTATTTGTTAATAATACACAAGATGTTAAGGTTTTGTCTGATGTACTTGATGTGTATGAAAAGGCTTCATCTGCCAAGGTGAATTGGGATAAAAGTGAAGCTCTCTGGGTAGGTCATGATTTCTCAGAGAATCCTCCACAATTGCCTGGAAACCTTAAATGGAGATTTGAAGGTTTTAAGATACTAGGTATTTATTTTGGTTCTATTGAGTTTCAGAAATTAAATTGGGAGGGCGTAGAGGATAAAGTATGCACCCGATTGTCTAGATGGAAATGGTTGCTACCCCAGTTGTCCTACAGGGGAAGAGTTTTGGTGGCCAACAATTTGGTGGCATCCACTCTGTGGCATAAATTCAATGTGCTGCAACCACCAGCAGGCTTAATTCAAGCAGTTCAAAGGCACTTAGTGACTTTTGTTTGGTCAGGATACCATTGGGTCCAATCTGCGGTACTGTATCTTCCTACACAAGAAGGGGGACAAGGCCTGGTGGATATAAAGGCAAGAATAACGACTTTTCGTCTACAAACAGCTCAAAGACTGCTATACAACAGCAATTTTGCTTGGATGAACATGGCAACAGCCCTTTTGCGGAGGGTAGGGGGAATGGGACTTGATAAACATTTATTTCTTATGCATTTACAAGAGTCTGATTTAGTAGACCTTACCCCCTATTATAAATCTATGTTTGAGGCTTGGAAAGTTTTCACTGTGTCAAGATCACCTGATTTATCAGCTGGGCCTTGGCTGTTGGAAGAACCTTTGTTTTTTAACTCTCTCTTTTCTTCAAGATTTTTATCATCTGCGTGTTTACGCTCACGGCTGGTGGCTGCTGGATATACGAAGTTGGGCCATGTACTGAGTAGCAGCGTGGAAGTTATAAGCCAAAGAACCGAAGTGAAATCTGCAAGAATGATACAGCAGCTTGTTGCAGAAGTACACGGGAAGTTAAGAAAGGAGCACAGAGATTTTGTGGACAATACAGAGATGATTCATGAGTGGAAAGAAGGGCTTGATTATGATTTTCCTTCACTCATTGTTAGAGCTGCTGTGGAGAATTGGGAAGATGATGATCATTGTTTGTTGATGTTTAAAACCCCAGTTTTGGATTATTTTGAGTCAACTGGGAAGAAGGCCTTGTACTTGACTTTTGTGAAAGTATTAAATGCCAGGTTGTTGACTGGTGTTTCTTCAACAAAATGGAGAGACTTTTTTGGACTTGATTCTTCCCCTAAAGGTTGCTGGCGCACTCTGTACAAATGCCCAATCAATAAGCGGACAGGTGATTTGCAGTGGAGAATTGTACATGGAGCAGTAGCTACGAACAGACATGTGGTGCATCTTAATCCTAGTGTTGGGGTGGGTTGTCCTTTTTGTTCGGAGGTAGAATCTTGTTTCATTTATTTGTGCAGTGCTCACGTTTAGGGGATCTGTTTTTTCTTTTAAGTAATTGGTTTTTATCTTTGGGTGAGGTGTTTTCTTTTGAATTGTTTATTTATGGGCCTAGGTATTCAGTTAAAAGGAAAATTAATTTTTTATCTGGCACTGCAAAATTAGTAATTTGGAAAACAAGGAAAAATAAACTTCTAGGGCAGGATGTAATAAGTGTGGTTCCTATATTTTTAGGACTTGTGGCAGCTAGACTAAACGTAGAGTTTGCTTACTACAAATTGGTGGACAGTTTACCAAAGTTTATAGATATCTGGGGTGTTAATAAGGTATTGTGTACTCTATATGAGAACAATGAAATGGTGTTGACTTTTTAAAAATGTATGTGAAAAAGAAGGAAAAAAGTGTGCTTCTCAATGAAGTGTGAATAATTGTGTATTTTAAGAGACAATTGTTATAATAAAGATATATAAAAGAAAAAAAAAATCTGTCTGTCTATCTATCTATCTATCTGTCTGTCTGTCTATATATCTATCTATCTCTGACTGTCTGTCTATCTATCGTTCTGTCATCTTCATCCATCCATCCATCCATCCCAAGTATTTAACAATAATAACCATGACTGCAACAGCAGAAATAAAGTATCATGCACTATACAATGCAGTATAATTAATCATGACATGAACCGAGTATTTGAAATGACAGGTACAAATGCGCAGAAGAATAAACAGTTTCGCTATCGAATGATCATCCAGATGTCAGCTAATGGAGGTCAGGAGTGTCCAGACGTCCTCTATGAAGAGAAAGACTGTCCGACTCCATCTGTCTGTCCGGTTTACAGGTACACCTTCACCCACAAGAGCTGCCTCTGCACTCATCAGCTGTTCTGTGCTGGATTTCACATTTATTGACATTCAGGATAGATATTTTACTAAAACTGACCTTCTCGAGTAAAAAAAGATATGTGCACTTATAGGAATAGTTCACCCCAGAATGAAGATTCTATCATTATATGCTCAACTTATTCATTTAAAACCTGTATGTAGCTTTTTTTTTCTTGTTAGCGAACTGGTTAATCCTGATGAAAAGAATGAAGAATTTAAGTAAAAAATGTTATCAGATTGTGGGCAGCTTAATTCAAATGAGTTAATTTTCCAAGACAGTGGGTTTCCTGATATTTTTTCAAGTTAAGGCAGCTAATTAGGATTTCCAGTGCACTAACTGATCAACCTCTACCAATAATTAGAATGATATCGCTTTGAAATTGCAGGTGGAAAACGCACAAGTGGCGTAAATGTCAGCTGGTCCCATGGAGCATCCGCAGAGACAGTAAAGGAGCTCAGGAGAACTGTGGAGCTGGAGTCCAAACTAGAGGTACGTCGGCTGTCATGTGCACCATGAATCTCCTGACCTCTGACCTTTCACCCTCTTACACACTCACATTCACTAAGCACACAGTATTCTTGCACGACAACCTGTCTTATTCACTAACCACCCGCAATGGAGAATTACAGCGTGCGAAATGCATTCAACACAAAATGTGTGCATATTTGCATAATTCCTTTAATCGGATACTAAAGCAACTCAGGCACAATTTATTCTATCTTAGTGATTTCCCACCACAGTATCCAAATACTGTTTCTCTAGCTGTGAAATCTTATGCAGTAACCATAAATTTGGTATAATATCTGATCTAAGATCTCCTCTTGAATCTGTGAATTGCTTTCTCTCATTTGCATGCTGCTTTATTCATCAGAGTCTGTCGCTTTCAAAAATCTATTATTATTTGCACTTTTCCAGTTCCATTCCTGTCACTCGTGAGGCAGTGGAAGACTTTATTATGAATTATCTTGGTATAGATATTGGTCTGACAAGGGCTTCCATCACACTAGACTTCACATTTGCCATTCAGTGCATGTCAGGAACAGAAGCAATCCTTCAAACTCTTGATCTGATTGCTGTCGACAGTATGGAAGGGCGTCGTTGTGTTGGCGTCATCACTATATTGAACTCTATAGAGGCCTAAAGTTTGGCCTAATGGTTCCCTTTTACTTGTCCTCACATCACTTCTTAATAGATTAAACAGTCTCACCGGAAAGACAACAGCTTTACAGACCTGTTTTACAGATGTAGTAGCTTTCTGAACCGTTCATGTTGAACTCTTTAGTGAGACATATTGTAACTGTTTTTTAATAGATTAAACTGAGTTATGGTGACAAGCTTAATAGTGGTGCATATACTATTAAGCAAGTAAACATATATTTTTATGTTTATTTTATATTTTACTTGATTTTATTTGATTAAGTATTCACATGTAATAAATCTTTTTTTTTTTGTACCGGCCATTCCTAATAAAGCATTTATTCGTTACATTATTTAAATATAATGTATCATTTCTAAAAAAAAAAAGAATGCTTTTTAAAGCTGATAATGTAAGTGCTTGAAGCAATAATGTGTTTTTTATTTTATTGTATATTATTTTCGTTTTTATTTTACATAAATGTACATAATGTGTAAAATAATTGTATGTATTTGACATAATTTTAACATTAAGAAAGTTATCGGCTATTGGTATTGTCCATAATTTCTTTCTGTGTCAGTGAGTTTAATGTACTTTCCCTTTTTATTTTGAACAAATTTTATCATCAGATTTGCAGTTATAAAAAACCATTGGAAAAAAATGTAATAGTACTTTTTACATCTGAAAAAAATTATGGAAATTATGAATTTATTGTAATTATGAAAACTTCTATAGTAAATATTAATGTTTTTTATGTTCTGCTATGTAATATTTTAGATATTGTCTTATTGGACATTAATAATTTTAATTACATAAAGTATTTAAAAAATAATCTCTATAAAATAATTTTTTATCAGCATTTTTAAATCATTTTAATTCACATATATATATATATATATATATATATTAGCTTTATTATATATTTTAAATTCTACAGTGAATATACATGGTTTTTAGTTATGTTTTGCTGTATAATATTTAAGATATGGCTAGATATTGTTTTATTGGATCCTAATAAGTATAATTACACAGAAATACCCAAAGAAATCTCTATAAAATGTTTTTTTATTATTTTTATTATTATTATTATTATCCAGAACATCTGGAAAAAAATCATTGGATTATATAAAAACTACAAAAATGTAATGCATAATTTAAACTGGTTTCTGATCAAAATGACCAGCATGATTCTCTCTCTCTCTCTCTCTCTCTCTCTCTCTCTCTCGCTTGTCATTTCTATAAATAACCATCTTCTGTTCACCTGCACCTTTTCTCTGGTGTCTGGTGCTGTGGCACATCCTCTCTGTAATCAGCAGGAGTCTCAGCGCTGTGTTTGTGTGTGTGATCTGCAGCTATCTCGTGTAGGCAGCTGGATGGTACAGTGGCTGATGTGGTTCAGTGTCTGAAGTTTGCCAGCAGCATGCCGGTTATGAGCCAGCCCTGCCAGTTACTGTGCCGAGACGACTGCCAGCTCTCCAACTGGTCCAAGTTCTCTCCTTGCACCTCAGACTGCGTAGGGGTCCGTACGCGGAGGAGAGCTCTCGTGGGTAATTAGGACATATGCATCATTAACACTGTGGTCTGAACTCAGAGGGTTGCTGGTTCCATCCCAGAATGGAGTGAGGTATTTCCATTTGTCTCCCTGAGGCACTGAACTCCAGGTAGCATAAATGATAAATGACTTCTAGTACAAGATTCAAGGCATTATGGGATGCATATGGTGATATTTCATTGTAAATATTTTTATATACTTCACATTATCATGGGCCATTAAGTACTTAAATGCATTTATAGGGTTGGGCAATACACATGCTTTTTTTTTTTTTCTAACAATATTCAAAATATCTTGATATTTATATAATTGTTTAAAATGTTGAAATACAGTAAAAAAAAATTGTTGAAATATTTTTATATGCACTAGTATTCAAAAGTTTGAGATTGATTGATTGATTGATTTTTATTTATTTAGTTATTTATTTATTTATTTATTTATTTATCTTTTTGAAAGAAATCACTTAGGCTCACCAAGGTAGAGTTATTTTAGTCAACTAAAACGGAAATTAAAAGTAAAAAAATAAAATAAAAAATTATTAATTAAATGTTAACTTAAATCAAATCAAATAAAAATAAATTAAAAAACTGTTTCAACTATTTGCCAGTGCAACATTTCTAATTGTAATGTAGTTCAACCTGATGTACTTAAATAACTAAAACTAAAACTGAAATAAATAAAACAATTACTAAAAACTATATAGACATATATAAATTAGATAAGAACTACTAAAAATAACAAAAATACACAACAAAAATTAATAAAACTTAACTAAAACTCAAAATAAAAACAGAAAATATACAAATAAAAACTGATTGAAAATATGAATAAAAACTATAATAATATTGCAATGATTATAAAATAGTACTGCTCCAAAGCTTAATTTATTTGATCAAAAATACAGTATTTTGTAGCATTACAAAATATTTGTAGCATTATAAATATCTTTACTGTTACTTTTGATCAATTTAATGTGTCCTTGCTAAAAAAAAAAAAGTATTAATTTCTGTCAAAAATACACTGACTTCAGACTTTTGAACTGTAGCGTATTATAATATATTCAATGCCTTTTATTTATATACACCAATAAAACAATACATAATAACTAGATATGTACATTTTCTGAAGAAAATGTGAGTGGCATTGTTCTAATAAACCTGTGTTATTTTTACTATAACATTTAAAATAATAAATTAAATATATATTGCCAACAAAAACCTAATTCGTGAACATATCATAAATATTAGATATATAACCCAGATGGTTAGATGGTTTACCATGATATATTAACAGCACAGCATGCTATTGCCTCATATCATGTCCAAAAATGATGGTAATATGATTATATTTTTTCTAAGCATTAGTCCAGCCAGTCGAGTTTGAGGCAGGTGGGAGGTTTAGAGGTGACCTCAGCGCTCATGACTCATTCATTAGTGAGCTTAATTAGTGCCGTAATCAACACTCACTTCCTCTGATTACAGGAAAAAGCAAGAAGAAGGATAAGTGTAAGAATGGCCAGATGTACCCACTGAGCGAGACCCAGTACTGCCCCTGTGACAAATACAACGCCCAGCCGGTGGGAAACTGGTCTGACTGCATCCTGCCCGAGGGCCGCGTGGAGAGCGCCGTGGGCATGAAGGTCCAGGGAGACGTTAAAGAGTGCGGACAGGGCTACCGCTACCAGGCCATGGTGTGCTACGACCAGGACAACAAGCTCGTGGAGACGTCACGCTGTAACAGTCATGGTAAGAACTAAGAAGTTCATCATGTGACTCTGAGCAGAGAGTTGACATCTCATTAGGACGTAATTATAGTTAGCTGACAGTGCTAAGTAACCTTCCTGGACTGCACTAAATTAATTTATATTAATAAGCCTAGCTAAGCCATGGTATAAATTCCCATCCTGTGAAGATTTGACGGTTAAGCTGTTTGGCTTTACAGACATACTAAGCCTCTTCCCCCTCTCAGATTTTTTAGCCAAGTGGATTCTTAGACAGCCGCTTGAAAAATCTTGGAAATATATACATTTTAAATATTGTTTTTGAAAACGTATTTGAAAAATAAAAAGTAATTGTTTAATTTTATCATTTAATTTAATTTAATTTTATTTTATTTCCAGCCAGTCTTAATATCTAGCGTAGCGTTAGTTCTGGCAGGTCACGTTAGTCAAGTTCGCATCAGCTGACTCTCAGCTGATCCCCATCTACCTATAGGAATACGACACCTATCTAAGCATTCGTATATAAGGTCCCGCAATATTATCAGCAGTTTTCGCATTTCTCAATAGCTAATTACCCTTCTCCATCCCCAACTCCTCCTCTGTCAGTCGGGATTCAGCCTTCTGATTCTCCTTTGAATCAGACTAATTCTAAAATGTGTACATAACATTATTGAACTTTAATGATATCTGCAATACGTTTATATTGGTTCTGTTCTGTTTACCCTGGGGGGTTATCGCTGCTCTCCCTGCTCTCATCCATGCTAGGCTGCATGGATGCACAGGGAGTTCTTGCCCAGAACAGAACCATACCGCCAATCCAAACTGTATGCTAATTGTCAATCATCTTTGACGATAGTGGTCCTGACAGAAATAGCATTTAATGAATATTTACCTATGTTTTAAACATTTTTCCAATATAGAATTCAAATATAGTATTTAATGGTTATATTATTTAAATATGTTTTATTTAAAGTTGATAATGTAAGTGCTTGTAGGATTTAAAACTGGAGCTTCAAAAATAATTATTTTATTTTATTTTATACTGAAATTTCAGTCATTCACAAATCATTTTTAAGTCCAAATTGCAGCTTATTCTGGCTAAGCGTGACATTTAAGGACAGATAAATCACACCTTCAATTGGTCATGTGTTGTTTCATTTCTATTAATTCGTCTCTGTCTACAGCTTCCTCTCTCTCGTGACCTTTCCTCTACTCTGTCTTTAGCTGATCTCCTCTCTCTGTTCGTGAATCTTTTGCTGCATTGCTCACTTAATCTTGTTATTTGGATGACGAGCGGACCGGTACGAGCGCCAGGCGATCCTCGGTTGACTTTGTCCTCTGCCCGAGTGTCTGTTGCTCCCTGCTGATCTGCAGGTATAAATCTCCGGCCCTCATTAAAGACCGCAGGCTGTCCCGGGACCGGCCTAATCAGAGCTGACATTAACCACTGACAGATACTCTTGCTTATACAGCACACGGCCCATGCGGGGTTATGAATCGAGAACGGGTTCTTATTCAGCCCAAATACACTTAAAAAAATTATTTTTATTTTTTATATTTATATATTTAGTATTCGTATTAATGATATAAATATTTTTCAATTTATATAGATCTTTATATTTATAATTTTATATATTTTTTATAACTTATCATTTTAATTTATATGTTTATTATTTGTATTTGTGATATAAATATATATTTTAAATTTATATATTCTTTATATTTATAATGTGGATTTTTTATTTATTTATATATTTATCCTTTGTAATATAATTTTAATTATGTATTTGCATTTTTTATTTATATATTTATTCACTGTATTTATAAAGGATGAATGTTATTAAATATATAAATATTATTATATGTAAAAAATAATAAAATTAAATAATAAAATTAAATAAAAGAATGACTACATAAAACCTGTCACTTACCAGTTAACTAGTAACTTTTAGTAGGAAGTGCAACATAAATATATGGTTTAATTTGAAATGCAAGAAAGTACGTCTGACCCTAACACAAGTAATGATTTATTTTTAAGACATAAATTGCAATAGAATCTCTTTACTAGATGAGTCACATGATACTAATGAGCTACTGTATGTTAATAGTAACGCTTGACTGGGCAAGCATCAATAATGAATACTGATAATAATGATGATTTGATGTTATTCGGGCTGATCAGCAGCCCACGTGTAAAAACTGCGAGATGAGTCGTCACTGATAGCCTCGTGGGCAGCGCGTCGACATGTAGCGCCATTGCGCTTCGGGCGTCCCGTGTTCGAGTCCAGGCTCGCGGATCTTTCCCGATCCCATCCCCCCTCTCTCTCCCACTTCGCTTCCTGTCTCACTACTATCCTATCAATAAAAGACAAAAACGCCAAAAATAAATCTTTAAAAACTGTGAGATAAGAGTTGTCAAATGAAAATGAAGTAAGAGTTGCTATGCGAAATGTGATAATCTTGGCAAAAGGCTCAGAAAAGGCAAAAACGCCAAAAATAAATCTTTAAAAACTGTGAGATAAGAGTTGTCAAATGAAAATGAAGTAAGAGTTGCTATGCGAAATGTGATAATCTTGGCAAAAGGCTCAGATGTTGTATTCTTCAGTAACTTCCTCTGCGTTATTTCCCAGGAGTTTAAAGGCTTGAGAATTTAACTCCACAATTGATTCAAGTCAAATTATTTTCCAGAAAACATCAGAAATCTCGCTCGTAATCTGATCTATACTTCCGTCTTTGGCATCACGAATGCCCTCCCGGGGACGTTAGAGATGAAGTTTCACCAGCCTCCACGAGCTTCATGATCTCCACGCGGCGTCTCCTGACGCTCTTCAGAGTCATGATGTCATCAGCAGGTCCCTCATCATCTTCCTTTATCTTTTTTCCTCAATCTCATTACTCACTGTCAAAAGCTTTGTTCCAGTGAGCTGCCTACGTAGGCAGCATTTTAAGGTATCACCAAAGGCAGCCATGCATATATCTTTCACAGAAAAGATGATTCGATAATACATTAAGACAACCTTGATGAAAAAAATCCAAGATGTGGATCATACAATTAAATGTTAGTTCTAAATATAGTGATGTAATTCACAAAACACTGCACAGATATTGATAAAGATAATGAAATCTAATGAAAAATGAAGTACTTCAGCCAATATGTATGTGTGCGGTGTGTTTTTATGCTTATTAGAGTAGCATGTCATGTAGAACGTTCTAAAACGGTTACTTGTGACGTTCCATCTCAGTTAAGATGCTGTCTTAGAAGGCAGCTCACTGGGTTTTGGAACGGAGCCATTCTCTCTCTCTCTCTCTCTCTCTCTCTCTCTCTCTCTCTCTCTCTCTCTCTCTCTCTCGCTGAGTTAATCACTAGAGTTCCTCTTAACAGAAATCTCTGTCTTACATGCTGCCTTAGGCTACTAAGTGAATCGTTAAATACTCTTATTTCTCTTCTCCAAAAGAGGGCTAAACATAAGCTCTTGTTTATTTCAGAATGTTTTTCTGACGTTTAATTTGAAGGCAACACATGTATAGCAGTAAGTGTGAGTGTACCATTTACTTGCATTTACTTCTGATTACTACCTTTGGGGTCAGCAAAGTTTTTATATATTTAATCTTTATATTTAAAATATCATTTTATGTTTTTAAATGTACATATTTATTCATTGTATTTATAAAGAATACATGTAAATATTTCTATGAATATGAATATATGTTAAAAAAAAATGTGTAAAATCCAAAAAATCAGCATATTAGAATGATTTCTGAAGGATCATGTGACACTGAAGACTGGAGTAATGATGCTGAAAATTCAGCTTTGCATCACAGGAATAAATTAGATTTTAAAATACATTCATATAGAAAACATCTATTTTAAATAATAATAATATTTCACGATTTGACTGTGTTTAACTGTATTTGTGATCAAATAAATGCAGCCTTGGTGAGCAGAAGAAAATGAATATGAATGAAATGTTAACATGTTTTTAACACGAATGTTTAATGCTGTTTGCAAGCTTCAGAGACTATGGTGTTTCTCATAGGTTTCTGATGTTCATAGTTCAAAAGACTAGTTCACCGGAAAATGAACATACATTCATTTACTCCCCCTCATGCCTAATTATTTACTGTCAAACCCCAAAACTTTCAATACAATGAAAGCATACAGCATGATTAGTTATTTATCTGAACTGAACCAACACAATAATGATGACACTACTGTCTTTTAGAGCTGCTTTTCAGCAGAATCTGTATAGTTGAGTTACATAATTGATTCTGCTATACTGTGAAGCTGCTTCGACTCAATCTGTATTGTATATATAGAAATAAAGGTAACTTGACATGACATAAAACTAGTCCATACTGTATGGCTTGTGCGCTTTATTCCAAGTGAACAGGAACAGGCTGTTTTTTGGTAGAATTTGAACTATTCCCTCAAGCTTTCAGAGTAAGAAACTGTGCAACTAACTCGTTTTTCTCTGATGACTCACTCTTTGTGTGTGTTGCCATTTCAGCAGTCAGAACATTTCAGACTTGATGTGGATGTATTGAAGGAATGAGGTCACTATGGGCACAAAAGAGTAACACTAGATCCGCCATGTTTGGTGAAGGCCAGTGGCTGACCATTTGGCCCAACACACAACGGCCTCAGTCCTACAGCCAGATCAGAGGTGGCAGGGTCTCTGTAGGGACAGATGCCGTTGCGTGTTGGGTCAGATGGTCAGTGCATCACCAGCAGGGATTGTTTTCTTGTCCTAGAGGGCGTTTACTCTGTGTTAGCAGTGTAACAGGCCTGACATGTCTTAACACTGAGGGGCAGAGGGGACGGGAGAGTTGTTTTATACAGATGCATTGTGACTGTGCAGGGTATTTTGGGTCGCTGCAGTATCTCTTTCCTCCGGCCCGTCACGGCCATGTCAGATCCTGGTTAATCTTTTGGGGTGAGGAAAATCAGGCTGTGAAACTCACCCTAGACATCTCTGATAAATTGTGTTGATTTTTCAATCAGAAGCCCCTCTAGGTACATGTTTC